CATTGCGAAGATACGCAGATTACCTGGTGCAATGCGAAAAGGCGATGGAAAGGGTCGACAGTTTGAAGGTTTTGAACGACGACCAAGAGATACATAAGATGTCTTCCAAACTACCCAAATGACACACGATGGGGCAGAAAGGTTTACGCTTGGAAGAACGAGAAGAAGAGATTCCCCCCATTTTCTGAGTTTGTGAAGTATGTCGTGGTTGAAGCAGACATTGCGTGCGATCCAATGAACTTGAGCCAACGGAAGATAGAGATCTATTCAAGGGGACCTCGAAGACAAAGGGACTATGGAAATTTCAGACGTACACCTCGAGAATCAAACCGCGATGAGTTTGCTAGATCATTGGCAACAAAAATTAATGAAGAAGATGCGAGTAAGGGCAAGACCGAAGAAGTCCAATGCGCAATGTGCGGAAAGGCCCATGAATTGGAATCCTGTAAGAACTATATGGATATGGAGGTCAAAGCGAGGAAAGAGTTTGCAAAAACGAAAGGACTCTGCTTTGGATGCCTTGGAAAGGGACATTTGTCGAGGGATTGCAAGAGACGGAAAAAGTGCGACTCATGCAAAAGGGCTCATCCAACATCCCTGCATGGAGACCTGAAGGGCGAATCAAAAGAGACTGAACCCTCTCGAACGGAAAACCAAACGGAACAACGGGCAGCCTATTGTACCAAATCTGGCACTTCCAAGGAAGAACGTGATGGAATAGTGAGTTCAATGATCATTCCCGTGTGGTTGCAACATGCAAATCATCCCGAAAATGCCGTGTTCGTATACGCCCTCCTCGACGATCAGTCTGATAGCACGTTCGTCTCCGAAAGCACCCTTAGCAATCTTGGAATCGAAGGTCATCCGACACAAATTTCACTTTCCACTATGAATGTCGCAAACGAGATCATTCAAACCAGCAAAGTCAACGGCCTCGTGGTGAGCGACTTCAAGCGTAACTCTGAGATACAACTTCCGCGAGTATTCTCCTGCAAGGCTATCCCAGTAAAGAGATCGCAAATTCCACGTCCAGAGATGGCAACAAAGTGGTCCCATCTAGCAAAGATAGCAACTGAATTGTCACCCTATCATAGTGACATCGAGGTGGGATTGTTGATAGGTGCGAACTGTCCTCGTGCCATTGTACCACGAAAAGTTCTGCCCGGACGAGGTAACGAACCCTATGCTCAGCAGACAGAGTTAGGATGGGGAATAGTCGGAAACATAACCAACGACAAGGACGATTCGGATGAAATCGAAGATGTCGTGCACAGAATCGCTACTCAATCAATCTGTGCTGCTCAAACCCACGAAAGAGCATGCACCTTTCGCGTGACGACGTCGGCCAAAGAAGTTATCAATCCACAGGAAATCAGACGCATGATGGAGTGGGATTTCTCCGAAAGAAGCGTAGACCACAACCCAATCTCCTTGGATGACATGAACTTCCTAGAACAATTAAAGATTGGAATTCACGAGACACCTAACGGCCACTATGAAATGCCACTCCCATTCCGTAACGGATCGCCAGAGCTACCAAGCAACAAACTGCTAGCATTGCGTCGGCTACAAGGGCTGAAGACACGACTGCAGAAAGATCAACGCTATCACCAACACTACAAATCCTTCATGAATGATCTACTCCAAAGAGGTTATGCCGAACCCGTTCCCGAAGTGGAATCGAACGTTGGAAGCAAAATATGGTACATTCCGCATCATGGGGTCTACCACCCTCAGAAGCCCGATAAACTTCGTGTCGTGTTTGACTGTAGGGCAAGTTATCATGGCGAGTCACTTAACCAACACCTGTTACAAGGCCCCGACCAAACGAACGGTTTAATCGGTGTCCTATCAAGATTTCGACAGTACCCTATCGCGTTTTCCTGCGACGTCGAAGGCATGTTCCATCAGTTTCACGTGAGTGCGGACATCGAAACTACTTAAGGTTCCTATGGTGGGAGAATGGAGATGTCTCTAAGGAACCAAACGAATATAGAATGACGGTCCACCTATTTGGTGCAACTTCGTCCCCAGGTTGCGCAAATTATGGGCTAAAGGCTATTGCAGAAAACAACAAGCAAGAATTCGGCGAAGACGTTGCGAACTTTGTTAAACGGGACTTCTATGTCGACGACGGACTGAAGTCTTTAAAGTCAGTTCCAGAAGCTGTGTCGATCATCCATAAGACAAAGGATATGCTTTCTCGTGGCGGCCTTCGGTTACACAAGTTCGTGTCGAATTCAAAGGACGTCTTGTCTACAATTTCTCCCGATGATCGAGCGTCAAATCTGAAGGATTTAGATTTCAATGACGGTCCCCTCCCTGTGGAGCGAACCTTGGGTACACAGTGGTGCATCGAGTCCGATTCGTTTAAGCTACGAATAATCTTACAGCTCAAGCCCTGTACGCGCCGCGGAATCCTGTCTACCATCAGTTCCATATACGATCCCCTTGGGTTCGCCGCTCCCTTCCTGTTAATTGGAAGACAGATCCTCCAAGACCTATGCCGAGACCAAGCAGAATGGGATGATCCGGTTCCAGAGGAAGTGCGTCAAAGATGGGAGAAGTTTAGAAGGGACTTACTTATCCTTGACAAGTTGAAAGTTCCTCGGTGTGTCGCGCCAACTGGATTTGAAGAAGTAACCTCTGTCGAATTACATCACTTCTCGGACGCTAGTACTACCGGTTATGGACAGTGCTCCTACATCCGCCTTGTCAACTCAGAGCAAGAAGTTCATTGCGCCTTCATCATGGGAAAATCTCGAGTGGCACCGCTCAAGCACATCACGATCCCTCGCCTCGAACTATCAGCAGCCCTTGTCGCAGTTAAGGTGAGCACCATGCTTAACATTGAACTTAGTTATGAGAACATTGTTAACGTATTTTGGACCGACAGCAAGGTGGTGTTGGGATATATCAGCAACGATTTGAGACGGTTTCAAGTGTTTGTAGCAAACCGCCTGCAGATGACGACCCGGAAGTGAAGAAGGTTAAATCGCTCGCAACCGCAACGGTCGAAACCAAATGTTCGTTGATGCTTGATCGTTTGAACTATTTCTCATGCTGGTACTGAGCGAGACGTGCGATCGCGAATTGTATGAATCTCAAGAATCGTTTCAAATGCCGTATCTCAAACCGCACTTCCTCCGATAAGCAAACGAAGAGCTCACCGGTAATCAACGTAGAGGATCTTCAAAGGGCGGAGTCAGAGATAATGCAAATGGTTCAAGAGAAAGAGTTTCCAGAAGAGATGAAAATACTGCGTTCACTTCAGAAGAAAGACCCTAACCGTAAAGAAACAGTGAAAATTAAGGCATCACTAAAGAAAACGAGCTGTCTCTATCGACTGGAGCCATTCCTCGACCCCTGTGGTGTACTACGCGTCGGAGGACGACTAAAGAAATCAGATCTCCCTTATCACGTGAAGCATCCCGCTGTCCTCTCCAGGAAAGGACATTTAACCACCCTGATAATACGACACTACCATCAGATGACTGCTCATCAAGGACGCGGTATGATGGTGAACGAGTTGAGATCTAACGGGTATTGGATAATCGGCGGTAGTTCGGCCGTTGGATATTACATCAGCGATTGTGTTGCTTGTCAAAAGCGCCGAGGAAACGTCCAAGAACAAAAAATGGCGGACTTACCCGAAGACAGGATGAAAACAGAAGCCCCCTTCACGTATTGTGGTGTTGATTACTTTGGTCCATGGCTCATTAAGGAAGGAAGAAAAGAGTTGAAACGCTACGGAGTACTCTTTACATGCTTGTCATCTCGTGCGATCCACATTGAAGTGGCCAAGACGTTGGAAACCAGCTCATTTATTAACGTTCTTCGATGCTTTCTGGCAAGACGAGGTCCCATCCGTCAGCTACGCTCAGACCAAGGTACGAATCTGGTAGGAGCACGGACAGAACTATGCGAGATCTTGAAGCAAATGGACCAGAACGAAGTTCAGCAGTTTTTGCTCAAACGAGAGTGCGACTGGTTCGAGTTTAAATTGAATACCCCCACTGCAAGTCATGCTGGCGGCGTGTGGGAACGGATGATTCGAACAGTACGAAGTGTGCTCGACGGACTACTCGAACAACATGGTACCCAATTAGATGAAGAATCACTACGCACGCTGCTCTGCGAAGTCGAGTGTATCGTGAACAGCCGTCCAATAGCAGGAACAAATACCCCGGAAGAAGAGCCGCTAACGCCGAACCATTTACTGACGATGAAGACGCGAGTATTAATGCCACCCCCTGGCGAATTTCAAAGGAACGACATCTACCTCGTGAAAAGATGGCGACGGGTTCAATACCTCACGAATTGCTTCTGGGAACGATGGAGAAAGAGCTACTTAATGTCGTTGCAAGAGAGACAAAAATGGAACAAGCCGCGTCGTAACATCCAAGTTGGAGATATTGTTTTGCTGAAGGACCAATCAATCGCCCGTAATCATTGGAAAACTGCGCGAGTGGAAGAAGCGTATCAAGATGAAGATGGATTGGTGCGTAAGGTGAAGGTTGTCGTTGGCGATGCACAATTAACCAGAAACGGGAAAAGAATACGCAATCGATCTGTTCTAGAACGACCAATCCAGAAACTTGTATTGCTATTTAAGTCGGACAGTTATGATGAGGATTCCCCAACGGGAGCTTAGTGTAAATTGATTAACAATTTAGGGGAGCCATGTAAGCGCCTCTGCCCATCGGCACTAGTGCCAGGCCCCTGGACAAAATATATGCGAAGGAAACGGTTTTATCGAAGAATATTTGTACCAGCTGTTGCGTTATAGTTTTACTTATTTATAAGTTTTGGTTGTGCGATCTGGACACAAGCGGGAAGAAATCGTTGACATCTTCTATCATCTATCGTTTGAACATTCTGTGCGTGTGTGTGTGTTCTTTGCATGATACTTGGTAGTTGCTAGTGAACAACAACTCCCTTGATGTGCCCAGATATATGCGTCCCTATAAAAGTCGAAGTAGAACAAGGAATTGCGATTTAACGAGTGGGAGTTACACTGATGATATACTTATTCTAGTAAAAATTCAAATGAACTACAGACAATTATGCAACAAGAATTTCAGCATTTGTTAGATTATTGCAAAGCCAATAAGTTAGCTGTTAATTTTAGGAAATCACATTGTGGTAATTTCATCACAACGGAAAAAATCAAATATTACTATACCTAATATTGAACAAAAGGATTATATTAAGTATTTGGGGATATTTCTTGATAAAAATCTTAATTGGAAACCTCAAATTTTACATATCGACAATAAAATTTCAATACTATACAAACTGAGATTCTCCTTAAGTTTTGAGACATTAAGACAAGTATATTATTCTTTAATATACCCATACTTGCAATATGGTATTATGACTTGGGGTAGTACTTATAAAACTATAGGTTAACTAAGGTAAGAACTAAACAAAATAAGTGTGCGCGATGCATATTTTTTGCAAACAGTCGTGAAACGGCGTTACCTTATTATATAATCTATTAGAACTTTTAACTAGATGATATTTATAAATCTAGAGGTGCAGCATTTGCTCATAAAATATTAATCCAACAAACTGATATTCCGGAAGTATTTTCTCGTTATCTTGAAAGTGTATCAAGTGTTCATTCTTATAATACCAGGTATCCCAAAAATAAAAATTTGGCACGACCTAAACTAAAGGGAAATTGCTAGATAGTATACTTCAAAATAAGGTTTCCGTTTTTATATCAATTTTTTAAATAAGTTAGGGTTAGGTTAGGGTTAGGGTTATGGTTAGGTTAGGGTTGGGGTTAGGGTTAAGGTTAGTATTAGGGTTAGGGTTTAGTTTTGCGTTAGGATGGTTTTTTCTACGTTATAAAAACGGAAAACTTATTTTGAAGTATACTATCTAGCAATTACCCTACCTAAAGTAAAAACAAATTATGGTATGCAAATATTCAAATTCTCTGTGTCATAAATTTGGGAAGAACTAAAATCTAGAATCTATAAATGCAAACATACGCTTTCAAAAATTTTCTGACAACCTCAGTATCTACAATTCTTATCACCAGCTTGAACCAGTGTCCATACCTGCGGCTATTTCCCAGGAACCCCCGCTTGGGCGGACTATATCATGACAGGAAAAAACAAGGCGGAGTAAATCCGGATTCTCCGTTTCTTCGCTTACAGTAGTTTTAATAGTTCTAATAATTTTGCTCTTATTCCTATTTGTTCCACAGACAAAGTTCAACTGGGATCTCAATTCTTGTTAACGACGAGGTACGACTACCTTAAATAATCTATAACGCCACAGTTCGAACCCACCCTTCTTTAAGGGAGATAAACCATCTCAAAAAAGACAAAAAGGGCGTTTATTTAATCCTCTTCCATCCCTCTATAAAGCCACCCTCCCCTAATTATATCGAGTTTAAATTTCTATATTTAGCAAGGGTATTGTCATGGCGAAACTTCTATTAAGCCCCGGGGGCATATGTATTTCGGACACGCTAGGGGGTAACTTATTGGAGTGGGGGATGGCTTATTGGGGAGGAACTTAATAGATAGGGGGCCCATATCTTGATTTTACGAAACGGATTAAGCAAGAAATTTCAGGTATATCTAATCAGTGCACATGGGTATGTTTGTTGTGAAGCGAGAGACACTACATTCTTAGTATGAAACCTTTCAATTCACACGTTTCAGATGGTGGCCAACCTTGCTGATGAAATGTCATTTATGGTGGATGTTATCAGAGGTAAGATGTGAGACTTTCCTCCTGTCGTAACACTCAGTCTCGAGTTAACTTCCCAACGAAGGGCCTTCGCTCGAAACATCGAAGTTCTGCTTACAGCTAATTCAAAAAAGATTGTCCTTTGCAAACCTTAAACTCTAAACCTTAAACTCTAAGCGCGCAAAGCTTAATGGGAGCACAGGTTTCAAGCTTATAGTAGTTGAGTATTGCATCTATTTGTGAATTAATAGTTCTCGTAAGGATATATTTACCATGTCTTTAAGAAATGGGCCACATATATGATTTCTATACTGATTAAATAAGCTTTGCACGCTTAGAGTTTTAAGGTTTAGAGTTTAAGATTTGCAAATTATATAAGGACAACTTTTTTGAATTTATAGCTGTATATTTTTCAAGTAGTTTTATGACTTGTATCTCTCAATCTGCAGCTGTCTATCCCGAGTTAGCATTTGATCTAATGCACTTTTCTTTTTATTTCTTGTTAGACGAACACAATAATTTGTGGAGAATTTTGCTAAAGTGAGGCTAAGAAAGACTCAAATCTATGTAAATATTCTATACAGAGCAAAGTATGGCATATCTCGGCTCTGGCCAGAATATGAATTTCTGCAAAGTGTTTATGAAGCAGTAGTCAATTTCTATCACCACTAAGAACGATTTAAGAAAAGTCGTCAGAAATCCAAATGACATCAACTATAATATTACTATAATATTTAAGTTGATCTAGTTAAAACATTCTTGAAGTCATTTTACACTTTTCGATGTCTTTTTGCTTATTTCAGATTGTTATCTAGATGCAGTGAATATACTGCGGATTCAGGTAGACCGTGTTTAATGCGAATAGTTGTCGCGTTAGTAGGTAGATTTTCAGACGTTTCTAAGGCTTGGCTTCAATGTTTATTTTCAAAATTTAAACGTTGTAATTACAACGGTTAAATTTTGAAAATAAGCATTGAAGCCACGCCTTAGAAACGTCTGAAAATCTGCCTAGAACGTCATCATACAACCGTTAAAACTAACGCGACAACTATTCGCATTAAACGGTCTACCTGAATCCGCAGTAATGTTGTTGCAGGGCAGACCAAAAATTTTGAAATGCTAAAAATTCCAGCAGGAAGTTTCCATCGAGAACAAAAAGTCGAATCGAGAAGTAATCTTGAGAAAGCGAAAAGTCATAAAATACAATGAAAAATAACATTTGAAAATCAGAACTCCGTAATTTCTACTTAATTTCTTCTGAGAAAATGCCGTTTGAAACGAGAATGCCCCGTAGCCGTGAATCTATTGCATAGGTAACTTTTAAACCTTTTCGAAATGTTATACTTTCATCTGAACGAGAGGATATAAAATGTTTCGTAGACACTTCAAAAATTCAATCTGTGCCAATACATATTTCACTGACCATACAGAAAATGCGAAAAACACAAGTTAAAGACGAGGATCAAAGATCAATGTTTGTATTTACTTTGTATAATGTATGGTCGTTAAAGACAGTTTGTTCTAAAGCGTTCGAACAATACTAACAGTAATATTATATATAGTACACCCAACTATTAAAATAGCCCTTGACTGGTGACACTGGCTGAATGGTTCATTCCATCCTAAGCAACGGCATGCCTACTGTAACGGTTGTACCGTAGAATTTCCACCACCCCCACTATTGCTATTTCGGTGTCTAAATACATTAAGAAAAAAGAATCAATGGCATAAAGAATAAAGGACTTCGCGTTTTGGAAAAGTGTGCCACTATTTGTTTTATTGGAGAGGTTCAGATTTTGACTTCCGCTAGCGTCACATCAGCCAATCAAATGTATTTAATATACCCAATTAACTGATGAAATGCGTATTAAGCTTGTTGAGAGGTAGTGGAAGTCAAATAAAATCTGAACCTCTCTAATATCACCGATACCAAATCACTTTTGTTGGATAAATATATGCTTAAAAAGACCGCTTCCTGTAAACTCAAGGGCCATGCATTGTTAACAGGTGATCCCTATTATCGCAAGGTGATGTTAGGAGGGCAACGCCCAAACCTTTGGAGATGTAGTCACCGTCATAATTTTATAGTAAGAGGGGGGGGGAGCTGATGTGCATTCTGTTTAAAGGATTAGTGCATGTTATTGTCTTTATATAAATTTATATGAAACCATAATATAACTATATAAGAATGATTTCCATTTGGTTTAACTTTGGCTTAACAAATTCATGATCGGCCATGTTTGGTCAGTAGCTGATGTACTTATCTTCTTTTTAACGGTGTACTATAAAAAACCCTGCCTTTATTACATGGACATTCTGTATTCATTGACCACCATGAATAGCTTGCATGGTCGCCTAGCCTACGGTGTAGACCCCAGCAGGAACACGTTTCGTGAGGGGTCTACGAATAAACGAAGAAAAGCTTGCCCAGCCTACGTCACGAAACGTGTTTCTGCTGGGGTCTACACCGTAGGCTAATGGTCGCCACGCTCAACTGGAAAACAGGCGTTGCGAGATTACTATTAGTCACGTGCTTAGCTCAGTTGGATAACAGGAAAGCATGTACCAGTAATTACCAGTAATAATAATAGACCAGCTTTGTTAGTCGTCGTCTTGTATTATTTAATTGAATGTACTGAGATTTTTATGATCGAGGTCGTTCTATGAGGAAATATAATATTTCTTTGTGGTAAGAAACTCATCTCGATCAACTTTTTCACTGTCAAAGTTCACTGTCAAAGTTGCCGGATATGATGCGATTAGATGTCCTTAGCAGCAAAAGACAAAGGCAAACTAATTGGCAATTCATCTAATGACATCATAAAATTGCTGAAAATGAAGTTTTATTAGGTATTACATACAAACAATTACTTTTGGGGTTAGTGGCACATTTCCTATTCCTCACCTTATACACATGGTTATCTTTGGGAAATATAATGGTCAAATTCCAAAAGTAAATAGATGTTCTCATCTTACGTCATCGCCGCCATGTTGGATGAAATTTTGTTTGTTTGAAATTCTCATTTCATCCAACCATAGCCTGTCGAAGGGGATATGGCTGTGAAACTCATTAGAATAACAATATAACTCGTCATCTATGTTGGTCAACGTTTATTCATAAATCTGGTCCTTCACCGTCACGTGCATGTGTATTGTTTTTTTTTACCAATAGCAATGTTTTAGGAAAGTCGCCTATCTGTGACTCGAACAATAGGGAAACTGGAAATTGCTATTGGTGGATTTGGCAGAAAAACAATTAGTCTAGGACCTGTATATGAGTTTGTATGCATTTCATTTAGGACAGATAATCTCAACTGTTTTAGGGCAAGTTGACCGTGACGGTCAACATGGTAACGCTGCCCGAACCCCAATCCGGGACGAAACGTCCGAAACTGACCACA